AACAAGGTCAAACAACTTCTATAACATTTTAATATTTACAGGGCTTCTGTGGCACATACAATTTCACTCAAATGTGCTCTTATCTATGAGCTGCTAAAATATATTGATAGGAGGCTTAAATGGTACCAACTACCACCCCAGCCCTAGTTACTATGTGAGTAGTATATTATTATTGGCAAATGCTTGCATGGGAGCAATTAATTAATTCTATAGACAAAAAGTCCTCTAAGTCGTCCTACCGACATGACCGAGTTGCGAAAACAAGGTCAAGCAACTTCCATACAACGAAAGGGGACTGCGACCACATAAAACGCCACACCATCTTGGTCTTCATACCTGCGATAGTAACTTTATTGTTGCTATAGTTGTACCCAGCATACGTCCTTCTCTGTGCATGACACGTTAGCATAGAAAGAAGGCACATCAAAAACAGCATGAACATACCAAAATGATGTGCAAGGCAGAAACGTATTGGCCTACGTCAATTAGGAACGGCGTCCAGGATTGGTTGTCAAATCTTCATTGAGTGTGTCAACTTCTGATTGGCTCCTGGGAAATGGCTCAGTCTGATCTGATTGGTCAGTCGACTAGAGCCAATGGAAATCTCCGGTGTAAATTGTATTCTTAGGATTTATCGACCAGTCGCAGAGGATGTCCACAGCCACGCTGATCTTCCCTTTACCAGTGTTCTTCGCACATGTCGCCGAAATGGGCGATGTGTTCGGCTATCTCCGATCTTTCCGTGTCCATTTTTCCGCATAGTGGCTCGTCTTCTTTGATCCTTGTCCTGATTGTCCTTCCCGTCTCTCCGGTGCACGCAGTTTATGCTGTAAAGTTCGGAGCACTCCATTTTGTTGACTTATTCACGTTTGTTGGACAAGTTGGAGAAGTGGGTTGTTACAGAAAAGATTTTTCCGAAACAAATCGCATGCTGAGATAACTCTTAACCTCCAGTTGATGCATACTTATTGGGTGAGGATTGGAATAGCACGGAGTACGGCCATACGCAGCTTACGACTCACTGATTCTGAGTTCTGGAAGAGGAACTGGGAAAGTTAACTCGGATGCGTCTTGGAAACGGAAATCCAGAAGAGTAGAGGAAAAACGATGGCTTTGCCTACCCTCCTACCAATTGGCTCGTAGGCTACGGCCGATACTGGGGAAATGGAGTATTGGTACATTCCTGAAGGAAAGGACGACCCTCTTCACCAGCTTGGCCAAAACAACCTGAAGAAGTCAACGCGATAGGGTGCTCCGGAGGATACAGCGTGCACTGCAAGGACATCGGAGAGACGGGAAGGACAATCAGCAGAGGGAGCAAAGAAGACCACCGACTCTGCATACAAATGGATGCGGAAAGATCGGAGCTAGCTGAGCACATCGTCCGTACCGGCCACACAATTGACTGGAATGCAACGGAGACTGGCCTCAGAAGGGGAGAGCACCAGGAAATGGAAGATCAGCGAAGCTGTGGACGTCTTCTTTCAAAGAAACCTGATGAACCGGCGACTGGAAGAGGGGAGAGTCAGCGATAATTTTGCGTACTGCCTGAGCAGACTTGGAGATTCAGCGAATACATCAAAAGGAAGACGTTTGGACTCAGGACAACTGTTCAACAAGAGGAAGCGACATCACGAAGGAGCGGTTGACGAGGAGCAAAGGGAAGCCAAGAAAAGGCGACTGCACTGAGACGA